CAAATACAGTCGTACATGATAACAAATGTTTATCCGCATAGTTGTAATCCAAGATGGGAATGGAAATGTGATACAAAAATATCGACAGAATTACTAACACACGTACGTATTTTATGCTTAGCTTAAATAATAAATTATATTGAAATTTATTTCATTATTCCTTTCAGGATGAAAAACGCTTGATTTTAAAAGTTTGGCGTTTATTTAATACAGATATAAGTACAGATATTGATATGGAAAGAGATATAGTGATTGGATTTTCTGCCATTGATGTATCTGTATTAACTACTGGTTTTCCATCTGTGTCAGGATGGTTTCATATCATGGATTTTACAGGAAAATGTAATGGTCAAATCAAGGTACATATTTTGTTTTAATTTTACATGTGTTATGCATACATATGTGTATGCATAAAGATCTCAAAGTTTTTCCTATATTTATTGCATAATTAAATTTTAGGTAGGAATAACTCCTTTGGATAATATGTCAGGTTTTGTAAAATCATCTACATCAACAAGTACTACACAAATACCGTTATGTGATTCATTACGATCAAACGAATCTTCATTATGCAATCATAATGTATTTTTAAATAACATAGAGCCGAATAATACCCAACAACCTCCATTAACAACTACATATAATACAATGGGCAGTTTTACTGAATGTGGTAGTCATCCTACAATAGATATTACTCAAAGTTTTGAAGATATGTCTATGTCTTTTCTTTCTTCATCTTTAAAGTAAGTTGCAAACAATATATATATACACATGGGATGTTTCCTTTATCTTCATACCAAACAACATTTGTAAAAACATTTTCCTGACAAGTTCAATCCTTCGCGAGATAATTCAACATTACGAGTTGAAGGAAATACTGTGTATATATAAAATTAAAAAATATAAATAATAATAAAAGTATTTATAAATATAAATAATACTTAAATTGATTATTTTTCATAGGCAAAAATTGGCAGAGTTAGACGAAATAACGAAACGTCTGCAGTCGCGTTTACATGATGTAACAAACACTGCTTTTGAAGATTATTTTGATAATGACTTTGACTTGAATGAAATACATAGTGATAATGAAAATATTGATAATAGAAATACAGATTCTATACTTCCTATGGCTCATATATCAAGTACACATGATACATGGCAAAATGCACCAAGTAATCATAATATACATATGCATATAAATAATGAATATAAACAATTGCCTGAACGCATGAATGATAATTTGATAACAAATGTAAATTTATCCAATATCAGACCTACTTTGAATTTTGCTTCACAGTCAAATTCTAATTTATTGAGTAACCATTATCAACGAGAATATCATATACAAAATGATAATGCATCGTACAATAATGAGGCTTATCCGTTAAGAGGAACAAAAGTACATATAAATCATTTACTTGATAAACTTTCCTTAGAACATCCAGTGAAACCTTACATAACAGCTGGTTCATCAATGAGAAAAAATGTAATTGATTTATTAACAACCGTTCATAAAGATAATGCACAAAATAATAACAAAAAGAATAAGCTGGAACTTATTAAGAAACCAACATCTATGCAAATAGAAAACAGGGATCAAAGTACAGAAACTCTATCAAATTGGATGACTGATAATACTATTGCTCCAACAAATGTAACTGCAACTCTTAACAAATCTTCACTTACATCCTACAATAAAATATCAACAGTTATACGAGAAGAGTTAGTTGCAGACGAAAATAATGATACATTGAAAAATGACGACGAGTTAACAAATTTGCTCATTACTTCTAACGTTCGCCATATGGATTTAGATAACATTTTCAATCCACTTTTATATCAGCATTTAGTACCAGATCTTCAAGTATCAAACAGTGTATCACCAGAGACACAAGCAATAGAACAATTAGATACTCGATATTCTAAAAGTTTTGGCACTGCCATAAATAATGGATTAAATGATACGCAAGATAAATTAGAAACAATAGCGTTAACTCCAAATAAAAATATCAATGAAATAGATAAAGATAAAATACCAGAATCTGTTGGAAATACAGAAATTTTTAGACTTACACCTTCTGGTATTTCAGAAAATGTTGATGGTAATATCCATGTAACTGTTATTCATAATCCTACTAATAATGATTTAATGGCAAGTAATAGTACAGAATCAACAACTACTATCTCTCTCAGTAAATCATCAATGAGACAAAGTGAAATGGAAATAGATGAAAATAGTTATTATAATTCATCTGATATGTCTGTCACTGCTGCATCAAGACAAGCACCAGACGGTGGAAACCCTATGGAAGACAGTTCGAAAATACTACCAAGAAAGCAAACAACTGATACATCAGATTTATCATCAAGCAGTTAAAATTGTATAGATGTATAAGGACATCAAAGTATTCATTAATGTTGATCGCGAATTTTAAATTTCTTAAAAAATATTGCATTTTCAATTTACTACTTTGTAATACTTTCTTTGTAACAAAAAAGTACAGGTGTGAATGTGCACTATTATAGTAATACAATTACGCTATTACTAATCTCGAATACTTGCCAAATATGAACATGTAAGAGTAGGTATAAGATGACATTTAAAAATTGTCAAGAACGTCCTTTCTCTATCGACTGATTACCGTGTATACGTAATGATAATATCAAACAAAAATGTTAAATACTATCCATATTCTATCATTGGAAATATATCTATTATATTATTTGAAGTATTTATTATAAGTATTATACTTATATATCAATATTTTTATATCATCTTTGTGTAAATAAGATCGCATAATGTATAAATTGATGATTATATTATATGAAATTTATTATACATTATAAGCTATAAATTAGATTAAAGATCATAGATTATGGATTACATTATATAAAGTTTATTTAAAAGTGAAATAAAATAAGTCTACTTACAATGCTTTTTGTCTATTGAGAAAGGCATACAAGTACAAAGATGCAGCATTTGATAAAATATTGAATTTAATTTTTTAAATAAGAAGTAAGATATGTTTCCTTAACTAGTCTTTGTTTTAACAGCTTAGGATGCATTAACCAAATGTTAGCATCAGTACCCTCATGCTGATGAATGTCTGAACAATCACGTATTCTCTAAAATAAAGATGCTTATAATATGAAATAATCCATATCGGAATAAGTAAAATACTTACAGAAAAACGATTTAATTCTTCCCTTTTATACTTTGTTTGTTTTTGTAATGCATCGGTCATGCATGGTCTACACAAGAAAATTTTATTGTTGCAATGCCAATAATCCCCTACGGGTTTTTGTCCACAAATTTTACACACATCTGTATTATTACTACAACATTTAAATTGTACTCCAAGTCTCATCTTAACTCTACCACCAAAACTATGTTCAAATGCAATTTCTTTTTTCTCTATTGGTGTATATGTTCCTGGTCTATGATAATTTAAAATGTAATGTGCATGAATTATTTTTTCATTTTTTCTAATTAAATAAATTACCCAGGATTCACATTAGGAATAAACGTAGTCCTTTTAGCAGAAGTTGCAAAAGGAAATCTTGATTCTTTGGTAGACTTGAAACTACTAACGATATTATAATCTGCTGGAGATGGAAAATCTTCATCATGTTTAATTGCATGTATTGTTCTAGTAATGCCACCATATCCTTTCTTACTAATACTATGTAAACATGGCTATAATCAAAAGAAAATACATATTATTTCGTCAAACAAAGTAAGAAAGTTAATAATACATTAAACTGTAATAATTATAAACATGCTTTATTTTTAGTGGCAAGAAATGAATCCATAACGTTATATGTATTAGGAGCAATGTTTTCATAATTATCTTTTATATAATATCTCATAAAAGAAGTCGTGTCTCTTTTAGACATATCATGTGGACATCCAGAACCAAAACATATTTTTTGGCGTTCTTGCTTTTTAATTACATACTGAAAATCTTTGAAGTAGAATAATATTAACAATTAATTCAAACATTATTAATGCTACATAATTAATAAAATAAATAACATCTTAATATCATACCTTCCATTCTTTTTTAATTAGAAATTAATTTCTTTTTTATTAGATATATTATAATATCTAATAAAGAGCAGAATTAGGTTATGATAATATATTATTATGGCAACGAGTGAAATAAGAACTATCAGAGTTCATATACGAATTAACCGAAAATTTCATATCGCATATTAACAATATCACTGACGTCATTCGCATAATAAAAAAAAGTAAATGAAAAGATTGAGAATTTAATTAAAGGGAGCATGACATTTCTTTTCTCTAAATTGATGTACTTCTTTTCTTTGCTTAGAAATAAAATATAATAGATATAAATTAAAAACAAAAAGAAATGGATTCACACAATCATACAATTATATAGCATAAGATTATAAAGAATAAAAATATAGAAAGAAATGTGTTCTAATAATGATACTAAGTTTTGTAGATCAAATTTAATAAAGAATCTGAATAGCGATTCATTTGAATTTGGCGCGTAAAACGTGTATCGCCAAATTGCGCATGCTCAAAAGTGATTACAAGCGTGACATTAACGCTGTTTTAGTCAAATTCACAACTATAAACGTAACAATTCGTATCATGCGAAATAATTAGATAAATATTTAGGGTGAAACACGAACATTTAAAGATATGAAATATATTCGATAGGAAATACTCGACGAAAGTACAATAACGAAGAATATAAATGTATGGAAGTGAAAACAATAGCTCGGTTGGAATGTTGATTAACGTAGTATACCGGCTTCAGCTGGTCGATGGTGTTATTTGTACCGACGGTCCGTCCGTAGCCGTCTTCGCTTCGCGATGCGTCCACCGATGTGTGTTTCTGCACATGGCCGTGCCGCCCGACAGGACTGTATATCGTTCCACGCTCTTTCGCACTTTACTACCGGTAAATGTCCCTTTCTCCATCGTATTTTTGGTTTATGTGAATTAGAAAAGTTTATTTAATCATTCGAATTGTGTAAAATACAAGTTTTCTACCGATAAAAGTAAATTACAAGTTCTAAGTGCGTACCACGGCCGCATCCTTTTGGTATTGCCCTGTGAGAGACATAGTCAGCATTTTATCATATATGTTTATTCATATCGGAGCTTATTACTATTCGTGAGTCCGGTTGATGTTTTTCACCATTTCATTTAAATAAATTTCTCTTCGAATCTTCTCTCCTTGCAATGTCGTACTCAAGGACATGATGACAAACAAATCGGTGTCGCTATATAGAACAACGTATTTCCTACTACACACGCATACGCAAGGCTTATTTCCTTTGTTATATACGACATAATTATTTAACTATAATTCTTTAATTATTTAACCTTGAATGCACTTTTATAATACCTGATGTTCACAACTTTGTCTTGATTTAATGTAACTTATTTCTTTTATTTTTTCATTTTTATTTTGGTCAAAATAAATCTAATAAAAACAATATAATCTTTTTCTAATGTTGTTGCATTATAATATTTTAATAAAAACATAATGTATATCACAAAATTATGTATACGATCGAACAAATATTTTCTTCGTAAATTCTAAAAAATTTAATTTATTTTCAATGTATAGTAGTAAATCATTACTATGATTTATCTTTTACAGAATATAATCTATTGATCTTAGAAGAATTATACGATATATCACATCCACCATGACTACATCATCGGAAGATGTTTTAATGCAAGTGGGACAAGTACGTTATAAGAAGGGAGATGGTACATTATATGTTATGAATGAACGAATAGCTTGGATGCTCGATAATAGGGATACTGTATCTGTCAGTCACAAATATGCTGACATTAAATGTAAGAATTTAAACGTTTTTGTAATTAATAAATTAATGTTTAATAAATGAATAGAAAAAAATCAAGGTGCTGTATCTCTAATGAATTTATCATTATTATATTAATAATTGAATTATATGTTGTTCAAGTCAATGTCAAAATTTTTGGAATATTCATTAACAAAATATTTTGTATATTTACTAAATGATTATATGTTTTTCAAAATTTTGATATTACATTTTATAATATAATATTATTTTCATAATATGATATATGTGATTAACATAGATGTTCTTGTCAATGTGATTATTCATTTAAAAGATAAATAATAAATATAAAATATAATTTTTAATGATTTATATTTTTAGTACAAAAGATATCACCTGAAGGAAAATCAAAAATACAGTTACAAGTGGTTCTACATGATGGATCCTCGTCTACGTTTCATTTTGTAAATCGTAATGGACAAGAAGCACAAATTAAGGATCGAGATGATGTCAAAGAATTACTTCAGCAACTATTACCAAAATTTAAAAGAAAAGTAAACAAAGAATTAGAAGAAAAAAACAGGTAGTTACGCGTATTTATTTTTATTTGCTAATGTTTCATACGGTAATATTTATTATACTATTATTTACTGTAATATTTCATATTATAGTAATGTTGTTTTTCAGAATGTTACAAGAAAATCCTGTCTTGTTACAATTATATCGTGATTTAGTAATACCGCAAGTTATTACTTCTGAAGAATTTTGGACTCAACACGCTGCAGAATACACACGTGCTAAGAAAGTTCAACGTCAAGAGATAGGTGTCAATGGTGCTTTTTTAGTAAGACAATTTATTATTATACTATTTGTCGTTTATTATGTTTGAAATAGAAGAATACATTTTTTTTTTTTTCTTTTTTAATTACAAACGATTATTTTTTCAATGTTTAGGCTGATATTAAACCACAGACCGATGGTTGTAATGGACTGAAATATAATCTAACCATAGACGTTATAGAATGTATATTTAAAACTTATCCAGCAGTCAAAAGAAAACATCAAGAAAATGTACCTCATAAAATGACGGAAGCAGATTTTTGGACAAAATTCTTTCAGTCTCATTATTTTCATCGGGATCGTATCAATGCAGGGACCAAGGATCTATTTACCGAATGTGCCAAGATAGATGATCAAGAACTTAAAAAAGATATTCAATCTGGAATAAATGATCCTTTGGTTGATATAACTTCCTTTGAGGACCAAACATTAGATGAAAATTATGGAAGTGGCTTAAGTAAATCCGACAAAACTTCAGGGAATATTGTTCATCAAAGTATGATCAAAAGATTTAATCAACATAGTATTATGGTTTTGAAAGCTAGCACTACTAAACAATCTACACAGAATTCTCAACCACAGTTAAATGGATCAACGCCATCTGTAAGCAAAGCTTCCACCAATGATCAACCAGATATCCAGCCAAAGAATAAAAAGGTAAGAGTGTTTTTGTTTTCTTTTGTCTCCATGTACTTTATAATATTCATTTTAAAGGAATGTTAAAAAATTTCCATAAAACTTATCTTTTTACAGCTTAGGATACAAGAGAAATTAATTTATGATGACCTCGATGCTAGCTGTGACTCAAATACAAATAATGGTGCGCCATTATGTTTAACACATGTAGATAGGTATTTGCATGGACCTGTGCCAGGATATGGAATGACAGAAGCACCCTCAGATGAACTTTTAATGGCAGTAAATCAATTACAAAAAGAAGCAGCTTCTTGGATTTCAGGAAATGGTTTGCCAAGACAAGCTCCTACTTCATTAGTTAGTCCAGCTGCAGCTGTATCAGCTTTAGGAGAATTGACACCCGGTGGATCTCTTATGAAAAGCTTTAGAGAAGAAAGTCTTGGACGTAAATATATATATATATATATATATATATATTGGGTACTTTACCCAAATATTTGATACTTTATAATAAAATCTATAAAATAAATTTATATAAATTGTTTAATTATTTATTGCAGAGTTAATACCAAAGGATTTGGAAACAGAATTACGTAACGTATATGTTTGTATATGTCAACTATTAAGGCACTTTTGGAGAAGTTTTCCACCTACAACACCACAACTTGAGGAGAAAGCAATTAGGATGCATGAAGCTTTACATAGATTTCATTCGGTTAAACTTAAGCCATTTGAAGTATGTATAATTTACATTATTTGTATACTTTTGATTTTAATGCAATATATTTTTTTATATGTTATATTTTAGGATCGTGTTCAAAGAGAATTTTCTGCAATTAGTCAACACTTAACCAGTCATTTAAATCAATTATTGAATACTGCATATAGAAAATTTGCACTATGGCAACAACGTAAAATGCAAATGAGGTAGCCATTCATTAATGTTCTAAAATAAATTACAACACACAAATAAAACAGAGCAATACCAATCATCCTACATATATTGCATTTTATAACGTTACCGTAATTAGGTGTTGATATGGATGTATTTCACAAAAACCAAAGCCAAGTTGAGTTACACATCCTATGCTGCCAAGCATTGTTTGTTTATTTATTAATACTTAAATATGTTCTATATCATAAAACTGTCTTTACAAATTTTTCATTGGAAGTCAGGTCACAATAATTACCATCAATACATGTTTATTTTCATAATATGTAGTTTATAGATTATTTATTTAATTTCTATAGATTGTTAAGATAATTTACATGTATTGCATTATCAGTAAACGGATATTAGTATTTTTAAGATCATTGCAAAGAGCATCAATATTGTCAATGAAAAAAAAAAAAATGATTAATTTATTTCCATCATATAAATTGCGTTGACTTTTATTTATTTTAAATAAAAATTTATTGATGTTCTAATTTGCAAAAATATATAATAATGAAAAATTATGAATGGAGGTTTTAGGATTTGTAAAATGCAAACGTTTTGCCAAGTACGAGTAATAAGAAATATCTGACTATTGCAAGATATCAAAAGAGGGATGAAACTGCCACTGCACAATTTAGAATAAAATATTTCTATTTTATATTACCACTTGGCTTAAAGAATATTTTTTATTTGTTATAATAAAAATATCCTGACACACTCTTGATTGTCTTTTTAATAAAATGTATGCTATAGATAATTCATATGAGAACATTTGTAATGTATTACAAAGATATATTATAATTCATAAGTTTTATAATTTGTGTATACTATTTTTTTCTTTTTTATTTGTTATTATTATTATTATTATTATTATTTCATTTCATTGCAGTGGCTATGTGTTATCTGATATTTGCAATATGATCAACTAAGTGTCTTATTGTCGAATCCTACTTTTTCTTTATACCATTATGTAGATAAGATTTTTTCTTTTCTTTTCTTTTCTTTTTTTTTCTTTTTTTTTTTTCTTTAATATAAAACTTAAATTTTTAAATTTATTAAACTTGTTTTCTTTCTCTACTATGTGGTAATAATTTAACATGATTTATGCAAGATATAATCATTATTACAATTGATAACAAATTAATCTAAATTGCAGAGTAGAGTTTACTATTATTATAATTATTAATATTATTATTATTATTGTCATAACAATTATAAATATATATTCTTACATTATCATTCTAATAAATGTTATTATTGCGAATGTGATCTATTAATAATTATCTGAAAAACCTCTGTGCTTTTTTATAGAAAGAAGATGGAACAGATATTCCTGATTGAATTTAATATTTTATTTAAGCATAATATACATTTTCTTACAGCGTTTTTAACATTACAAACGTACTTTAATTTCTATTTGTGAAATAATAGAAAAGAAAAGAAGATAATTACATAAATGTTTGAAGAAGCGTTCGTGATATGATTTGCGAATTTGTAAATTTTCAAAAAAACCCGCCAATTAATCTCCATCCCCTCCTTCCACACCATTCCTACACTGACATACACACATAGGCGCGATCCTTCCTCCTACACATAGAATCGATAGATGGCGTGCTTTATTGTTGACTTGGATTAAAATGGCGACCTATAATGAGCGCACGGGGGCAATACCGTTAAATTCCCCGCGATAAATGAGCCTGTGCGAATTCATCTCACCGCGGTGTATGTGCAGAAGCGCCGGGTGGTTTGAGGTGTACCCGGCATGTTCAGATTTTTGCGGACGCTCGAATCATGTGAGCGGAGCAACGGTGCCACCCGATCGTGTGTCGTGCGTTGGCCAAGTATCTGTGGCCATATTTACTGTGTTATTCTTAAAGACATCGTATCTCTTCGTACACCGGCGAACATAATCGAATACCTATGCACACGGCTCTACGATATCGAAGAAAACAATCGTCGTTGTCCAGACATTTGTAGAATACGCGAAGAACGTGACGATCCTCATTCCTTGACGATCAAGTACCCACCACTAGCAGTGAGCTATTGGTATACTGTATTCAAGGATACTGTTGTTTGGATAGGACAAAACGAAAAGACGCTGTTTCGATGGATGCTCGTCGATCCCAAGGAGAGCGCGCGTGCTTGTTTTTGTTTTGCGGACAAATAGCTATTAACACTCGACGATCGTAGACAACACGAATCATACTGTGCCTGCAGAGAACACGCTGGCTTATTGCTCGATTCGACGACGATCTCGGACACCGTCTATGGCATTCTGATGGATTATTCACGTTTACGAAGAAGTAAGCTCCAATCCCACTTCTTTCTTTTCTTATCTATCTCTTGTTCTTATTTCAATTCATCAATCTATCTTTTAATACTTTTAAATCGTTTACTGAAAAGACTAAAGATGGTTATGTTTCGAACGAAATTAAATTTCTATCATACCTACGAACTTATCTTACGAACGTACTTTGTTGATTCTTTTCCTTTTTTTTTTTATATTTCCCGAGCGTTTTTACCACTTTTATCTGATTGACCTCTGTGAAAGAACATTACTTTTTGATGCACACAATATTTGCATATATTTGCTTATTTAACCAACATCAACATTAAGATTTGTAGTTTTTATTATTATCATGTGGTATTATTCAATTCAAATAAAACCTATCCACATCTTATTTCAAGATCTTTTATTCTGAATAGGTGTGTTCTATTACATAGGAATATTAAATACATAGAAATATTAAAAGATTTTATACAATTGTTTATTATATTTCTTTTTGCCAATGTATTTGTACAAATAAGCAAATTTTTTTTTATTCCACAGGATAGAATGGAGAACTTTCTGCCCTACCTTAGAATTCTTAATACATTAACAAAGCTCTTATGATCAGTTCTTATGTATATGAAGAAGTGTATAGAATGGTTTCCTATGTGCAATTATAAAGAGAAATGTATAAAAGTTTTCATTGAAAGTTATGTTATGATTGATTTAAAACGTATCACCAACATTTCTAAACGCAAGAAAGCCTGCCATACGTGGACTAGGCAGGCTAGGCACCCTTGTGCCAAACTTGGGTAATGGATCCTGTTGGTCCATGGTATGCATCGTATAACCGCCTTGCTTCAGGAAGTACTGCTAATACATTTCAAGGAACAAATTCAACCACCAACAGTGATTTTGTATCGCATCATTTGTCAACAGCTGCCACACAAGCGGTACCATCAACAACATCGCAATTACTTTTACAAGCAGCACATACAACAGCAACTCTGGCGGGACAACCATCTCCCTTCAACCCAGGGGGGTTTCTGTCTCCACCCCCTGTGGGATATGATGTTTTTTCTCCTTTGTTTCACCATCCCAATTCAAAACAATCGCCTTATGTTTCGCAACATCGACAAGTCCTTGCTCAAGCTCAAGCTGTGACAGTGACTAAACAAAATACAACAACCGAATCTGAAATATCTCCATTGAGAGAAAACTACAATTCAACTCATCAAACTTTCTTCGAACATCAAAATTCATCGTCTTCACCTACTGCATCATCTCTTGCTTGGACCCAACAGAACAATGCCCAACTTCCAAGTCCTTTCGGTATATTGCCACATGAAAGTGTTGTAGCATCTTCTCCTGGACCACCTTCCACAAAAACCAACACTGCTGCTTATGAAAATACATTTAATGCTCATTTTAGTGCAACTCCAACAATAAATAATATAAATTCTCAATTATCTACTCCTGTTTCAACTGCAGATTTTAAATCATCTACTTATCCAGATGCAAAAAAGACAGTAAATGTTAGACCTCAATCCCCAAATGTTAACGTAAAATTAGTAGTCTCCACGACTCAAGGAGGTAATAGCCAAACATTTTTCCAACAAGTTCCAACTACATTTAGTTCAGAAACATTGACAAATAATTACACAGCTGGTAATGGGACCCAAACTTCAAATGGTAAGGTACAAGCATCTCTTCAACATCAACAATCATGCATTGTGTCCACACCAAGCAATACACCTAGTAAAGAATACAGAATTCCACAACCATCTGCAAGATCTGTTGCATCAACAACCATATTTTTAAACACGTCCGTTAGATCAGTGTCATCGCAAGCTCAAGATAAACAACCAACACAAAATAGTGGTTTTCCTTCTCCACCAAACAAAACTACATCTACGTCTCAGCAGAGTATACAAACAAAAGCACAAACTAAAATTTATCCTGAATTAAGTAATCATGGTGAACATAGAAGGAATGAACAAGCAGGACATGATAGTAATCAATCATCGCCTATTAGTTTTTCTATCATGGATACACGTGGTATGAATTATGGAACTAATAATACAACAAATTGTAATAATAATAGTGGTAAACTTGCAAGTAACCAAAGGACACCACCAAATAATAATTTACAGTCACATCCACAACAACAGCAGCAGCAACAATTTCATGTTTTAAATCAACAGCCACAACAGCAGCAACCAACAACACCTTATAGACATTATATAACAAATTCAGCAAGTGATACTGAGTATCATCATTCTAATAGATCAAAATCAACAGCATCTACAGATTCTGCTTATTCTTCCAATAATTCGACTCAAAATGGTCCTGACTGTGGTGTTGTTGTACCACGAAGACCAAGTCCCTTACAAGCGCATTCACAAGCTAGTCCGTTAGGGCATGTACCAAGTCCTGCATATCCAATGTATAATAGCCCAATGGCAACAATATCTTCTCCTTCACCATTGCAACAACATACAGAAAATAATGGAAATCAATGTGCTAGTGGACAGCAGTACAAAGGAACGGTACAGCAACAAGTTACACCACCTTCACCACTTGATGTTACTGTTCCTCGGCCTGCATCACAAGGTCAAGTTGCATATTCTTCAGTGATAACTAGGGCATTAGGTACTACAGAAAATAACAAGCCAACTTATAATACAGAAACTAAAAGTTATGACAGACAACAACAAGATTTCTCTCAAACACAAAAACAACAAATATGTTGGGAAAATGATAATCGGCAAACAAATACAAATAGAAAATTTTCTGTGGCAGTGTATACAACTGGTAACACAGAAATAAATACTCAAACATTACCTATACAACAACAGGTACAAAGAGTATTAAATGTTTCTGAGAGGCAGCAACCATATTTTGATTCCAATCAAGTTACTTTACAAGATTTAAGTAGCTGTAGAGGAGATCCAATGAGTATTGTAAAAAATTTACAAACTCTACAACAAAGTTCCTGTCAAGTACAACAGCAGCATGCAGCCCCTACTGCTCTAAATGATCAGCAAAAACAAGTAGAAGAAAGACGCAAAGCAGATTCTGTTAACAAAAAGAGGAAAAGTTCAGAAAAGGGAGGCCATGGATCAACACTAAATGAACTTACAGGAACAGCAACAATGACGGAATATTTAAGTAGAATACCACCTCCTGCACATCATAATACAAATCAACAACAACAAAATGGTTATTTTGATTTTGAAAGGTGGAATTTGCCTCCACCTCCCTCAAAAATGTTTACAAGTGCACCTGCTGCATTTAGTTCTCAATCAACACTGCATCACTCAAGTAATTTTGTAGGAAATCCAGCACATCAACATCAATCTATAATGGTGCCACATCATCATGCACCACCTCCTATTCCTTATTTTCCAGCTTTTCATATACCTCCCGGACATCATCCACATCATACTCATGAATTCCAATCTTCTGTTGAAATAACTCCAATTAGTTTCGGGGAAAATACAGTAAATCAAAATACTAATTATAATCAAGAAATAAGAGATGATCAACCTAAAGTGATTGTTCCTAATATAGAAGAAGAATTAGGCTTTCTTCAACAAAATCAACAGCCAGTGCAAACTATGAATCAAATGAACAAAGATCTTAAACGGCCTGGTAGAGATCCAAATTCAGGATTTATGACAAGCTATTTGAAATTTTTACAAGGTGAAAGAGATCCTTCACCGCCACCTGCAATACGAGGTGGTAGAAAAGCAACATGGAGTAGGTCGAAACCATATATTCCTATGGAGCCTTGTAAACCTTCAGAAACTTCCACAAATGGAGAAACAGTTAAGACACAAACTGAAAAACCAAATCCTGCAAAAGAAACACCAGCAATTGATTATGCTAATGATCCTAGATATTTTCCATTACCTAAAGAAAGGAAAAAACCAAACTTTGATTCGAGCGATGATGGATTTACTAGTGATGATGATTTTCTATTTCCACCTAAAAAAACAGAAAGGAAAACATCTACTAATACTACTAATACAGCAGATATTACAACTCCAAAACAAGAAGGTAAATCTAGGAAAGGAAGACCTATTAAACCTGGAGGACCAACAGATAGAAAACGAAAAGCTGCAGCTGCTGCAGCAGCAGAAGCAGCTACTCATACTTCAAGTACAAAAGTATCAAAGAAACTTGAAGAAGGTAATGTTAAAATATGTTTTGTATAAATTTTAATAACTAATCTTTATATTCTTTTAGTGGATCCTTTACTTTTACCCCCAAGAAGAGAAACATCTAGGAGAAAAGCTAAGGAAAAAACATCAGTAAAACAATTTTTAGATAGACAACAGGGTATAGATTATTTTGATAATGATGAAGAACAAGGTGATTCTGATTCTGATCCTGCTTGGACTCCTGCAGTAAAATTAGTTGGAGATGAAGAAGATAAAAGAAAGAAACGTGGACGACCTCTAATTACAAAGAAAAATAAAAAGACTTTAGAAGAAGATGGTTATTCGTCTGGTGAAGTTATTGTTTCAAAAAAATCAGTCAGAAAAAGACATGAAGTATATTCAAAAAATTCTAGCAATTCTGCAAAGATTTCAACTAAAATAGATGAGAAATTAATAACCTCTGCCAGTGATGAGGACATTGATATATCTCCATTTAAGGTACTTTGTTAATATTTTAATATACCTTCTATATTCTAATTTACCTTCACTACCATTGAGGAAAGTTCACTGATACAAGTTTAATCAGAATCAATATTATTGGATGCAACAATTTTGAAAATGTGAT